TTGTGTCAATCAGTGTATTTCATAATGAAACCTGGGATGCTGGCTCATGAATTTTGAACCTCCACTTAGTGCAGAGTTCAGGTGGGGCTTGACGGAGGTCAGAGAGTTTGCTCAGACTGTACTACAGGGGGGGCCACATCTCCCAGACAAAGGCCCTCGCCATGTGCCTGGCCCTGCTCACCGGTGCGGTTGCAGAGCAAAGCTTAATGGTATGGCAGGGAGGACAGGGTGTGAACAAAGTCAGCATGGGCTTTTGAGGCAGCAAGAGATGGACCATTTAATCTGACCTCGTGGATGATACAATTACAGAGATATAGGTAAGAGACCAGACCCCTTCCTGGAGAAGACACCCCAGCCAAATCTTAAGGGTGAGTAGACAGTAGGACAAAGGAGGGGAATTTCTGGCAGAGGGAATAGCTTGAACAAAGGCGTGGAGGTAAGAAGCCATAAAGAATATCGTAGAAACATAATGCTGTTCAAGGCATGGGAATGCAGAAAATGAGGCTGAGAAAATAAAGATGGGCCAGATCTTTCAGTATAAACCACAATACCAATAATTTGCATATTGTTGCTCTCCTCTTACAAATCAAGAAATAGAGGCTCAGAGAGGTTAGGTAACTTGCCCAAGTCACACAGCCAGCAAAAGGCAGAACAGAGATGGGAATTTGATCCGTTTGACTGTAGAACACAGGCTCCCGGCTGGTGGATGAACGAGTAGGAGGCCCATGTTGGTGCAGAAGCCGGCTGGGGTCTGAGACCTGCTCTTGCGCTTCAACATCCCTCTTTCACAACATCCCTCTTTCACAACATCCCTCTGTCTGCTATCTGAACAGAGGGCTTTCTGCAGCCTTCTGGTTTCAGGCTGGCAGTTTGTAGTCCCTCTTTGATTATTTTCAGGTCTGTTACTGCCACAAATAGAGGGGAAGGGGGCGACCATAGTGGGGACCACCTTTCAGCCTCTCTGAAACCTCATTTTAAATAGCAGGAGGGCTAGTGGCCAAAAGATCTACCTTCCAACATGCCTCCACCCCCATCTGTGGGTGTGGCTGAAGCAAGCCCACTCAAACCCGCCTCTGTCTAGGGGTGGGTCAGGGCATGCGCCTGGCTCTGCCAGGCACTGCTGATGAGTGGTTCCCACAGAGAAACCCAGATGCATAGTGTCTGAGGCCTGCATTTCAGAAGCTCTGTTTCTTCATTCCAGGTCCTATTCACTAGGGGCTTCCCTCAGGCCAGGCCCATTTGTGCTGTCCCAGGAACATTGATCATGGTTAGGATCAGCCTTAAGCCCAAAGTGGAAAAGCACATTTTAATTGGCAATTGCTGGTCCAGAGACTTCTCAGCCTAGACCTTATTTCAGCACATTTCATTCCCTCCAAACTCGGCTCTGAGACCACCCTGTCAGCTACAGGATCCCTGGGGAAACTTGGTGGGCCCTTTCAAGAGGTGGTTGTTGCTCCTGAAAGCCAGGTCCCAGTTTCTATCGGTCAAATCAGGAGGGTGGACACACAGGTTTTTGACATCGATTGAGCACCTGTGGCCTGGACTGTGTGTCAGGTGCATAGATCCCATCTTCACAACCATAGTATCTTCATAACCATCCTGACCAGTATAGACTTTCTTATCTTTGACAGATGAGGAACTGAAACGCAAGAGATTTTGAGCAGCAGTCACAGACACAAGTAGGTGGAGGTCTGGATAGTAACCCAGGTGTCTGCTTCCAAAGCCTAAACCTTTTCCTCGCCCGTGCTGCAGGGAACAGACACAGAGAATGTACGGCAGTGAGCCTCCCGATGCCCAGGCCTCATCCCAGATCCATTAAATCAGAACCTCTGGGGGTGGGACCCAGACATCGGTGGTTTCAGGGCTCCCCAGGTGATTCCGAGGGGTAGAAAGGGCTGCCAGGCACTGCTTTACTGTACCGGTAAGAGGCACATCGCCTCCTCGAGGGCTCTCCACAGGTGCTCCTTTCACAGAGTAATCCTGGTCACGAAACCAAAAATCAAAACCGAGCCAGTGGTGTCTAATTCCCCTGTTCTCATCAACAGAAGCAGGGCGAGGGCCCCCGGCCGAGCTCACCGCCCCCTCCTCGCCGCCCCCAGGTTCGGGGCTCCTGCCTCCGCGGCTCAGGTGCGGCGCTGCGGCAGGAAGCCACCCCCTCCGCTCGGCCGGTGCGCGGGGCTGTTGCGCCATCCTCTCGGGCTTTTCGTAACAGCACCCTGGGACGGCCGAGAGACGACTCCTGCGCGAGTTCCTCAAATGTTTTCCTGCGTTGCCAGGACTGTCCGCTGCTCTGAGTCATGTGCAAGTGGGAAGTCGCCCTGACACGGAGCCCGGCCAGAGGGAGCCGAGCCGAGCGCGGCGCGGGGCTCGGGGACTCGCCGTGCGTGCCGAGCGCGGGCCTCCCGGGGATGGGGGCTGCCCTCGGGGCTTGAGCCCGCCCGCCGCCCCGCCCCGGCCGCCTGCTCCCGGCCCGCCCGCCCGCCCT